GAGAAATTGGAAAGAAATTCTCAAGCACCCTGAGAATAAGGTAGAAAACATCAACTTCTTTTACTGGGGTGATTTCCCCCCCCTGAAAAATTACAAAACAAGTTAAGGCACAGCATTAGGAGAAAAAAATGTCCATCCCATAGATTCAAGACTGTTCTTTCTGTGAGAATTGATCTGTTTTGGGATCCCTCCTTCCTTGCATAGGGTTATTTTCCAACACTTTTTAATCCTTCTGCAACCTGTGGTACTACCCTCTTATGCAAGGATGGCATTGTTTTGGCTGAGAATAAGTACATTTATCTGGATCTTTTCCCCCTTGGATTCCTGATGGCTCCATTACTATTCCTTTAGCGTAAAAGAAGTGACCATCTCCAGAGAGAAGCTGTTGCCTGCCTGCAACTCTGACTGTGGCTGTGATGAGAACCACTGGGATCCAGTTTGTGGAGGCAATGGTATCACCTACATGAACCCATGTTTAGCTGGCTGCAAAACTTCTGTGGGAACTGGAAAGGATTTGGTAAATGCAGAGATGTTGTAATAAATGCCTACAATGTATAGGAAACAATTCCTTCGTTTCTTGAGGATGGGCAAGCCACAGAAAATTACACCTGTGCAAAATTTCACAGGGGTGCTTCACTTCTGTGCAAGTTTGTTCAAAGTTCCCATTGACGTTGCTTCCCTTGACATCATGTGGAGTGTCATGTTGCAGGAGCAAGAGGCACAGAAGCCTCTTCTGGCTTTTCCGCCCAGTTCCTGGAAATGCCAGAAGAAGATTCCATGTGGGCAGTCTCGGGGGGAAGGGTAAAACAAGTCAAGATGGTGTCAGCAATTGTGCGATCAAAGCCCTACCTCGTTTTTAACGTTCGATTGCACAGTTGCAGCCATCATATTGACCTCCTCTGTAGGCACCCTTCTTCCATTCCTGCAACAATGGTTACTACAGTTGCTGGAAGGAAATGAAATGGATTCCCTTGGCAAGGAGAACTCTATGCAACAGAGAACTCTATGAAACAAAACGCAGAACACCCTGGATGGGACACACTGAGTGGCCTTAAGTCACACAAGGCTAAGCAGCATGCTGTATTATTCCTTTTTTTAAAACAAGTCCCAGGAAATACTCATGAGTTATTTAGGAATCATACTTCTAATTCCCAGAACTGGGGTCCAAGGATGGGGGAGACCTAGCAATGATTTTGGAAATGATTATCATTCCCGGAAACCATTAAAGCACACTGTTCTGTGTACAGCCATGCAGATAGAGGTTTGGGAATGCAGAATATTCCAAGGACTGACTTCATTTTTCTTCTATCTTGCAGGTATTTCAAAACTGCAGTTGTGTCGGAATTTTAGGAGGTGATAATTTTTCTGCAGTTTTGGGTCAATGTCCAAGGGATAATTGTACAAAGGAATTCCCTTACTTTTTAGTGTTGTTGTCCATCCTTGCATTTCTCTTCTCTTTGGGAGGAACACCGACATATATGATTATGTTCAGGTGAAGACATTTTCTTTCTTTCTCTCCTGTTTAAAGCCTGGGGGCCAGCGGGTGTAATATTGTAAAATTAAATTCATATCCTGCAGTTCAATGCTTCCTTTTTGCAGAATCCTTCTGAGTGGCAAAAGGCAATTTTCAGATTTCAAACACATCATTGTATTTCATTTCATTTATTGTGCCAATTTGAATAATGCATTGGAGAAATCCAACTGGAGCAAAATTCGACAATTGTTGCTACAGTTCCCAGTGAAATTTCTAATCAAGAAAACATATTGCTGTTATAAAACCAAGCTTTCCAAATCAAACGTTCTAATTTCATATCCCTACATCAGATTCTCAGCATGACCTGCCCACATTTATTAATTTAACCTTTAATCCACACAATAATCAAAGACCTGCAGATGAATAACAGCATTGTTTAAACATTAAAACAAAATTTAAAAAGAGCCAATAAAATGATGCAAACATTAAAATTACATTAACAAATAGCACAGGAATAAATGCCATAAGCGTTTAAGGATTTTTTATTCCTACTCATTGCTTTTTCCAGTGGGTCAGCTGTAAGCCTGTGCTTAATTTGAGTTGGGATCGTGTTGGTGTTGATTATATATCATTCCAGTTGGTTTCGACTCTGAACCATACCAGGAAATTGTGCTGACTAGCTTGTTTTCAGATTAATTTCTTTATTTTATTATTATTATTTTTTAAAGAATTTTTCCTTACACTTCCAAAAGACAAATCTAAAGAAAAAGAAAGGAGAGGAAGAGAAAAGGAAAAGGAAAAAGTGCACACAGACAAAAAGGATAGAAAAAGAAACAGAAATCAAGAAAAATATAATTGACTTCCAACCTTCTTTTCAACCGATATTTACTACCTTATTTTCCCTCTTCCCTCTAGATTTCATTTATTTCAATGTTTCTAGTCTAAATTCACTTTTGAACGTCTCCCAACACCTCCTTTTCTTTTCCAGGTCAGTTTCACCAGATTTGAAATCTTTTGCAGTTGGCATTGAAGCTTTATGTGGAAGGATACTTGGTAAATAATTTCCACATTTCATTTTAGATTCTAAGCAGATAATGTTATCTATTAGCCATGAAATGCACAACGTTTTGGAGAGAAACTGGCTAGTGTGGTGTCCTAAGGTAACATCCCCCAATTTGATGTCTTCTAAACATGTTGGATTCAATTTTTTATCATTTTGAGATAGGTTGACCATCTGGATAATGTCAGTTTCAGGACACCTGTTCTAAGGCTGCTGGTGATGAAGGACATATCCACACTAATCCTTTAAGCTTCTCTTGTGCTCATGGTTGCTTAAGTCTAACTCAGTTTAAGCAAAATTTCTGGACCAAGGCAGTTTGGCAACATCTTGAAAAGGCCTCCATCAGGACAGCAAGTTCCCTTGGCATCCCATTGGACAATTTCTTTGCTGCGGTCACTTCACCTTCTTGACCTCCCTTGGCTGGGAATGTGTGCCTAACAGGACCCCAGGAGAATCCACAGGGGAAGTGGTGGTCAAATAAGTCAAGATGGCAGCCATGCCTGCACAAAACCCTGCTCCTTTTTCCATCACACATATAAAAAAGAGGTGGGGTTCACCTTGATCTTTTGACTCTTCTCACAGATGACCCTTCAGAACCATTTATGAGTTATTATTTTACTGTTATCCTCCATGTGATGTTACAATGAGCAGTAGTCACAGGGACTGCCATTCCTTCTGACATTTCATGAGAGAAGCCCCTGTTGCACTCTTTAAAATAAATTCTAAACTGGTAATTAATCAAACTGGTAATTTAAAAAGAAACAAGGTTGCTGTACTGATTGGGTGCCAAATCAATCAGGGTTTGCATTTCAGCATTCCAGCCCTAACGTTCTTTAAAAATGTACAAGACACCAAACAAACGTCTAATGTACACCAGCCAAACCAGACAGTAGTGCCTCAGGTGATATAGGCACGAAAGTGAAAGGATAGGCCGTTGAAAGTGAAGGATCAAAATGCGCCTGTGAATGTCATTTGCAGTGAGTGGAGGACGGGGTAAGAACAGGACGATGTTGTCCATTCCACATAATTTATACGTCCAGGCCAATAGTCTCAGCAGAGTCTGGAAATAGGGCTTCAACCAAAGTCCTTTGCACTTCCTACTCCTTGTTTCTTTTTTAGCAGTTGAACCTGAACCATTATGTTCACACTGCACATACTCTGCCACTGAGCTTTTGTTCCTTTCAAGCCTTGCTGAATAAGTCAAGCCAGCCTCACCTATCTCCCTCGCTGTATTTCAGGAGGGCTTCCAGCACCTATTTACTTTGGAGCTTTGATTGATCAGACCTGCTTGAAATGGGGTGTGAAAACCTGTGGTGGATCTGGGGCTTGCAGGGTATATGATACCGAAGCATTCAGGTAAGCCTGAAAGGAGGAAAAGAGCCTATGATTTAAGGTGGATTCTGGTTGAGAACTTCTCTCGTGTTGGGTCTGGATGAGGAAATCTGTTTCCACACCCTAAATAATGATGAGAACCTTTCATAGAATAGTTACATGTTGACAAGCCTTTTATCTGTACTTAGTATAGCCTTCAGGGAGGGGAGGGAGGCGAGGGAGGGAGGGAGGGAGGGACCAGGGCAAGAACATTGCAGAAAGAAATGGACAGGAAAGAAAAAGAATACAGTATGAGAAGTATGAGAATCATGGAGTCATGGAGGAGGGAACACTGCAGTGCACCTCCATAATTTTATGGTTCACACAAGACACTAAACCCAGACCAGGCAGATTGCACTGTGGAACCTAGCCACTGTTAGCCTTTTAATACAGACCTCTCCAATTGTGGTTTATTAAATAAACCATTATTAAACAAAACATGACTTTGATGTGTGAGTCCTGTAGGGTCTGAATCCTGTAGGCTTCTTTTGAAAGGCTAAGAACATTACTGCACTGATTTCCAAGCGTGAAGCTGGTAGCCCTCTTCTTCTGGGAAACACTCCTGCTCTATTCCAACTCAAGTCTGTTCTCACGCTGTTTTTTCTCCTAGAAATATCTACCTTGGGGTCATTGCTGCACTAAGATTTGGAAGCTGTTTTCTTTATGTCATCCTTTGCATGTTAATCATGAAGCATTACAGGCAAGGCAATCAGAAGACGAAAGCAACCAACATTGCAGAAGTACCTGACATTAAATTGTCCAATATCAGTTCAAAGACAGAAGTGTCCTCTTGCAGGGAGGTGCAAGTCGCTGGAGACACTCCCTTGTGAAAAGGTCAAGGAATATGATCTGGAATGTTCATGCACACATGGCTGCAAACTGTGGATTCATCACAAGCAAACTGTGCAGTTCCTAACCATGCTACTCCTTGACTAAGCCAAAGCTCTGCCAGTCACTGGGGGTAGACATTGGTATTAGCATCAACCATTGGTTCAAAAAGAAGCAATCTGGAACCCAGTCTAAGTTCAAGAAAGTCTTGGATCCTGATATTAGGGGAATTCTTACTAATGACCCAATTGAGATTGTGCTATGACTCCTGGATGAAACGTGGTAGTCTTGGGAAGTCATAAACACTGGTGCCTATTAAACTGTGCAGGGCCATGTCAAGCCTGGCACAAGAACATGGAAGTTGGAAAAGGAAGATGTGGTTTTGGAACACAATGTGAGAACTATATGTTGCATCATAATGAAAAAACAGAGGAGATAGTTTTGTTGATTTAAACTCCTCCTCCTCCTCTTCCTCCAGTGCTATGTTTCCAGAAACTCTTCCTTTCATTTCTGAGTAATTTTCTTCCCTTCTGGTTTGGGATCTCCATACACAATGTTTACACAAGTAAGGTTCTTTTGCTAATTTAGTTCCTCAAAACAATCATCGTGGAAATCGATGACTGTTGCAATGTGGAGATGGTCAATGTATGTGGTTAACAAGTTTTGAAGGTGACACCAAGCACCATCCATTTCTCTCCAAAGATAATGACTGCCACACACAGTAGATAACCTTGATTAACTGAACTCTGGTTTCCTCGATTAACCCAATATTCTGTGTTTCCACATTGACCAGATTCATACAACAAAATAAGCCATAAACTAACCAAACATATTTTAGACTACAGCATTGTTTAAATACAGTCCTGAAAAGGCACCTTTGGATGGTTTTGGTTTTACCCCTTCACTGTTTAGTTTTCTTAAGAGTTTGCAGCTGTTTTCACCTTTTTTCAATGTATAAGTTGGAGAGACTTCAGCTGTGTTTACACAACACATTTATCCATGGTTTACATGCCAGTTTAATTCCAGTTTGCCCTACAGAAATGATTGTGTAATTTATAAACTAACCTCCTATCCTGGTTTCACACAATAGTTTGTGGTTCATCTGAACACTACCATAGACAGAAGAAAGATTTGGGGAAACTCTTTGTACTAGAGGAAGAAATGAGAATCCAAGATGGCAGATTACTTCACCATCCTTTGCTAATGGATCTGTTTCAAAACCTAATGAAGAACTTCTCAAAGAGTAATTTTAACCAGCTCTGATTTTATGGTTTAACTTTTTTTCCCTTGACATTTTCAGCAGTGGTAATTTGATCTCATTATAGTGATGAGAAATCATACCTTTTAAAAAAGATTACCTCACGCCATATAATTGTGAATTGTGGGAATGGCTATGCTTTTTCCTCCTTCCCTCTGTCAAGAAATACTTTCATTTCCTGATAAATTACCACAATGTGCTAAAAGCCCTCAAAATAGAGCAGCTTTTAAATACAAGAAGAGCCATCTTTCGGGTACTTTTATTCTTCTTTGTTAATTTGGGGGGAGGGTAGGAAGTCCCTCTTCTCTTTTTTTTTTTAGGAAAAATATTCAAACATTGAAAGGAATGCCCCATCAACTAGCAAGATCATTCTGTAGCTTTGGAAGAAAGTAGATTTTACTCATAAGATAATGTTTAGAGATGGGTTTCAAGTATTCTCCTTGATACCGTTTGTTTGTTACACCATTTTTTCAACCTTACTAATTACTAAGTCTATCCCTAGGCTCAAAACTCTCACATAAAAGCCCCTTGGGGCATGTTTTCATCCAACGATTTATAAAAGGGGTGGGAGATCTGTGGTCATCTAGAGATGCTGCTGACCTCACTTCTCATCAGCTCCCAGATAGCCAAGATGAACGGTGTCACAGTTCAACGGTATTTAGAAGGTCCCCGGTTCTCCAGCTCTGTAGTTATTCCCACCATAATCCATTCCAGTAAAGCTTATGAACAATATAAACCTAGTCCTGCCTTCTCCAATGTGATGTGCTTCAGACACATTGGATTCCAACCTTCAATGCCAGCTGAAATTCTGGGAGCTGGAATATAAGATACCTGGAGAACACCAGATTAGAGAAGACCAATCTGGTTTTTCTGGGTCACAAAATTCAGTCATGACACTTAACTTACAACCAAGAAACAAGGAAGGAGAACGGAGTCTGAATTTGGGGTCTCCTGTATTGAAAACATGTTTCCTTCCTCATATAAGACAGCATTTATAGAAGTGTCACTTACTCCCAAAGAGGTGTCTACTGCAGGGGTTGGTCAACCCATCTTGGAGAAATCCTGACATGACCACAGCTTCCTTGACACTTAATCATGTGGAAGTGATTCCCATTTGAAACTGCCCAGAATTTGCCCTTGAATCCCCTGTGTGGAAAATGGAATCATTTTCCCCATGTTCCCCATAGTTTCTCTTGATCCCTGATTGCACTCCAACATCTACAGAAACCTCCCCAAATTCTCTTAATCAGCTGTGGAGGGATCCTGAGAAGCTTTGGAAACCAAAAATGGGTAAAATATACCTTAGAGTTTATCTATTTATATGCTGCCCATCTCCCCCAGAGGGTGACTCTGGGCAGCTCACAATTAAAATCAAACAGTAAAA